ATGTTCATCACGTGTTGTGTGTTAGGCTACAATACGTTAATGGTAACCGTCTATTTTACATGCAGATTTCTGAAAAGCTGATTTTGGTCTATTTTGGATAAGGGGTGTTACAACGAATGTCCGTTATCTGCCATCCAATCGCCTTCTTTCTCCGCTTTAGGATCCTTGACGCTGCTTCAACTAGTATTTCCGATAACTCTGCAGAAAGTATAACAAGAAATGTTTTATTAGTACCCAAAAATGCACACCTGAGATAAGCCGGCAGTATTTTCAGTTTCATCTTTGGGGCTTCCTCAATTGAGGGTTTTGGTGGTGGCCCTAACTCACGCTCTAACGACTCTAATCTTTGCTTGTGAGTCTCCATAAGTGCCATATTTAGACACGTTTATATTTCTTGGGCCTCTGTATCTTCATATTTATTATGACAAACTATCACTTTTTCTAAGGGGTCTTTGGGCCGCACTAACTGTGACTCAACTATACGATCAACAATTGTAATAGCAAACAATTCTTTATATATAAATGGGAAATTTTAGAGTGCGGTAAATATAAAATGCCTCCACCTTATCATGTTCTCTCATGGTTAATTGACCAACTGCTACATCAATCAATGCCCTACCTATGACCAAAAAGGACATCCCAAAATGAATAAAAATTTAGGATTGGGTTCAAAGTCTAAGACCACGAAATCTATCGGAAAAATTAATGAACCTACTTGCAGTAACACATCTTCTACCACCCCTACTAACCTAGCTATGGATCTATCTGTGATTTAGAGAATAACAATGGTTCTTTTTGGACCACCCAACCCAAGATTTAGATACAAAGAATAAGGGTATAAAATTTATAGTCGCCCCCAAATCACACAACCCCCGGCCATGAATACTCTGCCCAATTGTAATCTGCACAGTATAACTACCTAGTTTTTTTTAACTTTTTGGGCAGTCTATTTTGGATCCCTGAGCTGCACTTCTCCATATGTGCTACGGTTTTATACTCTGTTAGCCTCCTCTTACTAGCCACAATGTCCATCGCGTATTTAGCATACTTCAGGATACCCTGCAAAATGTCAACCAAAGCTAGATTAATATGAACTCTTTTAAGGAGAGAGAAACTTACGAAGCATTCATTTTCATTCTGCTTTTTGAGCCTTGTGGAAACGGAGGTAGTAACTTTTTTTGAGGAGCAAGTACCTCAAATTGAAGCTATTTACTAACTCTTACACTTTATTTTCTTTGGTGCTTATCTCAACATCTCTCTTCTTTGAAGTTAATTCCTCTAATTGTAACCCACTTCTATTACTTACCGCATGTAGTTGCTTTGGGTTAGGTTCAGTGTCACCGAACAGCCCACCTTGGGGACATAAGTTCAAAGAATTAACCACTTGGCAACTTGTTTCTCTAAACTCAATTGGGACATTTGGATGTTTCTGATGTTCTCATCATGTTTATTCTAGCACTTAACTTGGTCCCCGTTTCAGTCATGAGCTTTTGGAATAACTCTTATATGTTCATCCCTCCTTTTGGTGTGCTAGGAGTTACATTTTGTTTGGATTTTGGTATTGTTGCCAGCCCCTTGAGTACGATATTGGTTCCCCCCTTCTGCCTGGTTTTGGTTTTGATTACCACCCCATGAGAAGTTGGGATGGTTTCTCCAAGTAGGGTTGTAACTATTGCCATAATTTTGTTGATCTCCACTCCTTTGCGCATTGCCACATAGTTCAGGGAATCCGGGTTTGCCTCACATTGGTTAGTTTTATGGGATCCACTACTACATACCTTGCACGAATTAACTATCTGTTGTACTATGTTACTTGTGCCTGATTTAGAGCAAACTGTTTAAACTGTAAGGTCAAGTTATGTCGCATTGCATCTATCTTGGCATTTATGGCAGTAACTTGGTCTACATCTAACATCCCTGCAACTTTTTGGGTTTTGGCTCTAGACATTTCCCCTCGTAGCCTTGGTTCCCTTCATAAAGTTCATAAAATAAGTCAAAAAATATTTCACTTGTTATAGATAAAGCTTGTCTACCTGCTGCACTATTAAGAAGAGCTTTGGCATTATATTCTAAACCATCGAAGAAAGCGTGAACGAGTACCTCATTTGATTGCATGTGGTATGGGCAAGCATTCAACATTTGTTTGAAGCACACCCCTGCTTAGTACATGTCCTTGCCTTGCTTTTCAACAAAATTTATTATCTCACCCCTCAGCATGGCGGTTTTCTTGGATCGCTAGAAATTTCCTTGCCAGGTCATCCCAAGTGGTGATAGAATTTGGTGGTTCGCAATCTAACCAACTACTTGCAGCTCCTAATAATGAGTATGGGAACAAGGTTAGTCTCACATAGTCCGGTGAGACATCAAGTGGGATGTAAGTATTATTGATATTCATGAAGTTCCTAAGATGGACTTGAGGTTCCTCATGAGGGAGACCAGTGAATTGCCCATTAGAATGGAGGATCTATACCATACTCTGTTTTAGTTGAAATCTACCCCCTGGTGGAGGTTTCTTAATACTTGATGCCCAATTGGCAGAGAGTGGGACTTCAACATCTCGCATTGGTCTCGCTGGGATGATACGTACATCAGGGGGTACTCCTTGGTTATTCAAGTTCTCTCCGTTATTTGGGTTCCTTGGGTCATTCTCATTTTTCAGGTTATCTGGGTTGTCCGGATTATCATTATGATGGTTTCCCAGAGGACCTAACCCTAATTCTCCATGTCGTGCCTAGTTCGCCATTTTCTTGCACTCGCGTAGGACTCTTTCAGGTTCGTTGTAAGGTTCGACAAGATCTCCTTTCCGAGCTAGACCTAAAAATTGAATGCCTGCATTAAACCAGCTAAGATCAAGTAATTAATACCTTAATATTCTAATTGTAGACTTAAGAAGATTGAAGATAAATAAATTTCTAAGTCCTTACCAGTGGCACCAAAACCTGGTTGGTCCTTAGTATACACGCAAGAGTATGTGGTCGCGCAAGTAATATAGATTCTTTAAGAAACGAGTTGTCATTCCCAAGGGACTTATGATCAATTTATATTTAATACTTAATTCTACAACGTAACTAAAAATAAAAGTAACTATTTCAAGAGTTGATGATTTATGACTAACTACGACTAATTATAAACTAAATAAATGTGAACGACTTTAAGATGATGCTTCAAGCAAGAATAAGACAATTCCAGGGCTGCATCATATCTTGAATCTCATGAATCTACTGGTTTATAGGGTTAATTATATGAGTTTAGATACACATCTCTCGTCGCTTACCCAAATTAGATACCTAACTACATCGTAGAACGGGGATAAGTAAGCTAATTGGCGAACACTTATATTTCATCCTATTTCATAACCAAGCAAGTTATTCGTCCAGGTGTCACTCCTGAACACAAATCACCTCAATTTAATGGGTCGATCAAGCGATCTAACCTCTCCTTGGGTCGATTTTAAGATTAGACACTAGATTTATCTTATGGGCGCAAGCATAAAATAGTAACACAAGAATATAGAAGTAACTTGCGTTGACAACCAAAAATCAATTCATAAACTAATAGTATTCAACATTCAATTCATAGCTATAACCCCAAAACTAGGGTGTTTAGCTACTCATGCTATTAGAAAAAACCACAAAAGACAATTGTTCATGCGATTTTCGGAAAAAAGAAGAGTTACAAGATCAAAACCTATTACAAACTTGAATTCTTACTCTTACAAACCAATTCAAAAGTCAAACCCTAATAATGGAGGCCTAATGATCTATTTATAATAGTAAGGGAAGTTGGGATCAACTCCTACACAAATAAGAAATCCTATTTAATGCTTACAAGTTGAAAAAGTCGGAAAAAGAGTGGTGTCTTGCGCCTGCCATGGCGCCATCCTGTCGCCTGCTTCTAATCACCTTGGTGCGTCGTGCCTCTAAAGCGCCTAACTTGTGCTCTCGGATCTTTTGCGGCTGGCGCGGAGCGCCTAGCAGCGTGCCAGAAAAAATCTTCTAAACTTTTTGGGTGCCACGCCAGGCCCAGGTGCCTCCATACTCAGCCAATTTCCGCACTCCTTTGCAACTCTTTTCTTTCATTTCAACTCCAATCTTCTTGAGAGTTCCTAAACTTCTAATCACACGTTTTAGTCACAATCATCGCAAATATAACAAAATCTAGCTAATAAACTAAAGATCATTCATCCATTTAAGCACGTTATGGGCATTTATTGACAACTTAGGCATATAAATATTCCTAAGATCATTACATAATTGTGTTTTTTTTCTCCTAATGTTGTGGCTGTAGGTATCAGATTATAAAGCTTTTTTATTCACACAATGCATTATAGTAGGTTGGCTTTACTCTACTCTCTGATCTGCCTCACTTGTCATTTATCACATTCGTATTTATTAAACAGCTTAACCACACTACTGGTGGCCGGGTTGATGTAACACTTATAAAAGTTCTTTGTGTAGTTAGTGACTTGCAGTTGGAGGCTTATTTACTTGAATCATGTGTGGGCGTACGTGTGAGTGTGTGTGATGTGAGAGGATAGCAAGTCCAAAATTTTGAAATTGTGTGAAGGTAAGAAAAGTAAGTGGTCTGGAAGTATTGTGACCATAAATTTATAGATTGGAAATCTGAAACTTTATATCTTGCTAGCTATTGTGTTACTTCCACACATTAAAAAGTAAAAATGATGTGAAACGTACAATAGAAGTTGAGTTTACTGGAAAGGACCCTTGATAATGTCATAGGGAAGAAAGAGGATGGAAGAGGGAGATCATAAACATTAAGCTTGATTGCTTCACATGATCTCAATGGCTATGCTTTTTCTCATAGAATTACAGTCCAAAATGATCTTGTAATGCTCTAGTACTACAGAACTATAGAAAACATTCTTACGGAGTACAGTAAATCATCATATGTTGTTCTTGATTATAAGTTTGTAGACAAACTATGTCTAAGAAGTCATAAAAGGGGACAATATAATAAGCCTTTCGACGGGCATAGGAATCTATGAAGAAAAGTCTTTTGCCATAAAACGGTGACATATGGATACAACCAATTTAACATACGCAAACAACTGAGAAATGTAAACAAGATCATTAAGAGAGAAATACAAAGTTTCAGATACAGAACATAAACTTAAAATGAAAACGAGAAGTAACCAAGATACTTGAAATTTCTGGTGAAAAGCAAGTTTATCTTGTGATATGCGCGATAAAAGAATCCAACTCTATTCGAGAAGAACCCCCTTTTTCTGTGGAACGCCTTACGGATTCTGCCAGTTCTTCTGCTCTTTTCCTTATTGCATCACCTTCTTCTGATGCCATCAGCTTCCTCACGACATTCTCTACCGTGGATGCACTTACTAGCTCTGCGCGTTTATCCCACTCTCTCACTGTCAGGCCTATTTTCAGTATTTCTGTCACCAAGAAACCATTTTTTGGCTGGTCAGCATGCATAGGCCAAGCAGCTATTGGTACCCCCATAGTAATACTCTCTATGCAAGAATTCCATCCACAATGACTCATGAACCCGCCTGTGGAAGAATGAGCCAGGATTTCAGGTTGTGGTGCCCATTCTCTCATCACTAACCCGACCCCTTTTACTCTTTCCTCAAATCCTTCTGGCAACTCAAGTTTTCTAGCTTCCCCGGTAAAGATATCTCCTCTATCAGCTTCTCTTAACACCCATATGAACTTGTGTCTGCTTTGTTCTAATCCCATCGCGAGCTCTATGACTTCTCTATCGGAAAATATAGATGTTGTTCCAAATGATACATAAAGAACTGATCTTGGAGGTTGTTTGTTCAGCCATTCCAAACATATGTTGTTTCTATTCGAGATATGATCGAGTTTAGTTGGTAAAATTGGTCCAATTGCCCATTGTTGTTTACTTTCTTCAACCAGCAATTCAAGAAAATCACCTTCAATCACTTTACTCGTATTAAGGATATCACCTGATCTAATACCCATATGTGGACTCTGAATAGCTGTAAAGTCCCTCATTTCATCAGGTATCCCTCCTTCAAGGTCGGGTAGCTTTTTAAGCAATTCTTCTCCAAGTTGGACAGGCTTCCCTCTAAATCTGCATACAAAACAGTACATATTTAAAGCTGAAATGCCATTAAATATATATGATTCAGCATTAGGCAAGGAAGAAACATCCTGAACATTATAGGACATAAAAGGATCATGAACAACAACGATTCGTCTTGATTTTGAGGAGATATCACGTAAAAAGGAAGCAATGGGCTCGCGAAGAAGCAAAGATGCATCCCATAATGGCTTATGATGTAACGGGAATTTGCTTAAGGCATCAAAGACAGGTGGAGGTGAGGCAAATTCAGGTATTGGAATGTCATGGAAGTGGATTTTGGCTATATCTGAAGGATTTAAGGCGTTGGCTCGAAGGCGAGCTTGACGGTTAAGTGTGGGAGAGCCAAGATAATAGACTGGAAGATCATATGATGAAGAGATTAAACAGGAAAATTGAAGAAATTGATTGAGATGTCCTTGAATTGGAAATGGAACCATGACTATAACTACTTCATGATCTGAATTTCGTACTTCTTTCCGATCCTCCATATCTCCTAATTGAGTTTTTTTCATGGAAGAAGCAGGGTTATGTTTTTTCAAAGAAATGAATTGTGACCATATAGTTTTGGAGATACAGACAATTCACATCATAATGCTGGCTTCAACTATAACTATATAACATTACTTTTGTTTTATACAACTACATAAGATGAACATGGTTAAAACCATTATGTGCATTTGTTGCGATTCGAGTCTACACCCTAGACGTGACCGACACTCAAAATTGTCACTAGGCCAAAAATAAACATTGGGCTGACATGCTACTAATTACAAAATACAATGACACTATGCGGAAGGTTTTAAAAGATGAGCATGCGATTGTTGTTCATCTTGTATTCTTAAGATATTTAGAACAAAACTTTGAAGAACTTGGTAAAACACAACAAAGTTTAAGAATATTTTTACTACTAGAAAATTTAAACTAGTAGAGAAACTAGAATCAGAAACATATTAGATAAAATATACAAAATATTTTTCTTTTAAGGAGAATTGTTTGTGTTTAAAAAATTTTACTGATTCCAACAAACTTTGCAGAAACACGAAATTACCAAATCTTAATGAACCAGTGAAAAACATAAGAAAAAAATTAATTCACAGATCTAAAATCTGTAACACATACCAGAATCTGGAAAAACAGAAAGAAGATCAAGCTCACTGAATGCTCAATGTCCCCCCTAAGGAAATTATTCCCCTATAGTATCCGAGTTTTGATTTGGTATATGTCCTCCCAGGATAGAATGATCTCAATCACCAGTGTAATGATATCCAAAACGTTGGTGTCAGTGAGCTATTCAACGACAGTAAAGTACACTTAGAATAATATATTTTAGTATTAGTAGAAGAAGTTCAAAAATTCTATTTTAAAATGAGAGGAAATTCCTCAATTTATTAAAAACAAAGAATAGTGTGAAAAAATTCTTATTATACCTTATCAGAAAGGTTATAAACCTTTGGAAAAGTCACAATCTTTGGAAAGATCAACAATCTTTTATAAAAGCTACATTTTTTCATAAAAGTCGCAGCTTTTTATAAAATATCGCATTTTTTCATAAAAATCCCAACTATTCATAAAAATCACAACTCTTCATTTTTCATTCACACCTTTTAAAATCCAACAAAGATAAATTTAGAAAATAAACTCAATAACTTTATTTAAATATCTGATATTTGTATTATATCATATGTTTGTGAAAAAAAAGTGGTTAGCTCAACTAACTCATTTATGAAGCCACTAATGTACTGAAAAGATAAGGTATTGGGGCTTGGTTACCAAGACAAGCCCCAGGATACCTGAAATACTCTACTTACTACATATAAGTACTAATTATTCTAAATAAACGAGAACTCTTTGATAGCCAGAGGCCTCACACTCCGAATAGTTTATGTATGAAACTAAAAAAAAAAATAGTTCAAGTGTGTTATTGTTATTTTTTTTCAAGGTAATGACTGAGAATTTGAAGAAAAACAAAAAAAAGTTGTTGAATTGTCCAAGTTACGGACCAATTATATGAGATCAATTTGGAGGTGTGCCAAGAAAAGAATGTCCTGAAAAAGTATCTGAGGTATGCACATGATAATTCACATCATAAATTTTGCATATGTTAAATATTCTTGTTTCATGGTCCTATATGAGATATTTTGTTTGTAGATCCTGTTTACTATTTTGACTTTTTATATGAAAATTTTGTTTGGAGTTAAAATGACTCTTGTTATAAAGTAACTTATATAATCCTTATCGTTATATAAATGGTTCACATATATCCTTTCTATCATTACCAAATGAGCTCACATATACCCTTCATTTAACAAAGTGAAAAAATAGTTTTAAATTAATATTTTTGACTTTAATTTTTAAAAAAATATCTCAAAATCATAACTAGGACTCTACAAAACGGCTTCATGCACCCTAGAATTTTTGAACTTTGTTCTCTGATACCAAATTTGTCAAACCCGTGCCTACATCCTGGACATGATCGACACTCAAAAAACCATTGTTGGGCCCCAAGTGAACGCTTGGTTTGGCTAAAATCTCAGCGAAAGACTTAGTCACATAGAATAAACTCACAAGATAAACTTTAACTCAAATTTCTCAAAATGATAAACACATGAATGTTTAGAGAAACATTCAACTTGCATCAAGGGCAACTCAAGTTTAGAACATAACAATCGAAACAAATAAGACTCAAGAAAACTATTGTCTATCCACCTATGAAACCTCTAATACTATGAGAGATGTCGGGACAAGACCCCCAATCATCCTAACAAACTGGAATAACTAAATATAAATAAAGGATCATACGGAAGTAGTGAAGCTAACCAATTAACTCTAGAACTCAATTGGATCAATGAATCGTTGGTTGATGATTTTTGTTACCTGTATCTGCATCATGAAACATGCAGGCCAAATAGCTTCAGCACATGAAATGTACGAGCATGTAAGGGGGAAACTAAAGCATGACATAAGTTTGAACTTGAACTGAAGAAATGACTTACCTCATCTTAACTCACTAGCTCAACTTCCACACAATCTCAACTCATTTCAATATAAAGCATTGAGAAAGATGCAATATAAAGAGAAAAGATCTTAAAGCAATATATAACAACTCAATTTATTGAAACATATAATATAACACATTTTGTACACAAAATACAAAATAAGCTCTGTTTGGGAGATTCTCTAACCGAAAATCATCACTATGAGCTATGTGATGATACATCGTCTCGCCCGCTCTGCCAGAATTTTCATATACCTTAACGGGGTATAGAACTCCTCAACTAAGTGGATCCACTAGTCTATGCTAAAAAACAATTAAGAATCATCTAAAAAGTATGACCCTTCTTCAACCCACGTCGGCTACATGGTTTATAGGGGTTGTGAGTTGTTTGGACTCTCCCCCATATCGGTGCTCAATACTACTCTAAAAAATATAACTTAGCTCATATATTTCTAAAAAAACATTTCCTCATCCTCAACTTTGAGATTATTACTCAAAAGGTTTCTCTGAAAAGAGATAGCACTCAAAACTCCTCATGAACTCTTTTGAAAATCGGTGTTTCCTCTCATCTTGTAAAAACATTTACTCTTGGGAATACTTAGTTTCCATATATCATTTTGAAGAAAATGAACTCAACTCTACTCTTCGTCAAGCTCAAGTACTGAAGTCTTATAAGTTCTTAAAGTTTGTGAAAGACTTCACAAAATGACTCAAATGAATTCTCAAAGTCTTGTCTGTAAACTCTATCATAAATTAAAGGGTTATGATTCATGTTATGAATGATCTCTCGATGTTTAGATGTAGTTTAAAGTATGGATATCAAGTAGAGTATGGAAAAAAAGAATGGAATAAGAGTAATATATCTAAGTCGTTGGTGGAATATGATCAACTCAAGCATGAGTTGGAAGCTATGAAAGTTTCTCTTGCAAACAAGGATACTGACATCACTTTCCTAAAAGCTCAGCTTCTGAAAAGCGCAATCAAAGGGATCAGATTGAGAAGAACTGGCAACCTTGAAGGTTCAACATGAAGCCCTGGCAGCAAAGAATGCTTCTGAAAAACCATGCTAATGCAGAGGCTTGACTAATCTTACTCTTTCAATCCCTTTCTCCTAAGCAACCCCCCGCTCTCATTCTAAATCCATGTATCAGTCATCATTCCTCCTCTTTTTTTGAAACTCAGTGAGTCGTGAGTATTGTTATGGTTCTCTTTCGTACTGATGTTTTCAATGTTTTGACTATTGATGTTTTATTTGTGAATGATACTTGCTTCTATTGACTTATCTCATTACCTTATACATTTTTACTCAAGCTCAATTTTGCCCAAGTGGTCATGAATTTGCTTGAACTACACTTCTATCAACTTATTTACTGTTTTAGTTCTTTTTTATGATGTCAAAAGGGGGAAATAGTTAAGGTATTAGATTAATGTTTGTTACCCTAAGAGGACTTGGTCAAGATCAATGTTAGTTACTCGAAGAGGACCTGGGCTTGCTGATAGGGGGAACTTGTGAAAGAGGGAAGAACTTGAATAAGTTTGTCATTATCAAAAAGGGAGAAAATGTTATTTTATAACTAATTTGAAATTTTGATGATTCAACCAACTTCAATAATGATGAAATAAGGGGACCACTGTAGTTACTTGAAGAGTCGTGTTGATAAGGGGAACTGATGAAAGAGGGAAAGTTGAATAAATTTGTCATCATCAAAAAATGGGGGGAAATGCTATTTTTAAGTTGATCTAAAGTTTGAAAATTTAATAAATTTCGGGTCTTAACAAGGACCTGATAGAGGAAAGACTTCATACATGAAAAAGACAAAAGATAATTGTCTCAAAGCTGTCAAATTTGTTGTGGTTGGTGCACATGTTTTTAGAGAAGTAGGCTCCCAACCAATGGCTTTGCTCAAAGGGTTTGTATCCATATTATATAATTTTCTTCTCCAAAGAAACAACCCAAGTTTTAAAAAATAAAGTTTTGAATTCTAAGAATTCATAAGCTCAAAAAGGAAAAGTCATCGAGGAAGAACATTGATCATAGTCTAAAAGGGACCTGATGGAGTAATAAAGCATATTTTGTTTTATTTTGAGCACATTCTGATTTTCAGCTAGAGTTAGCTATGCCGGATTGTTAAAGTCTATATAAGCTATAGTTAGTTAGTGTAGTGAGCAACATAGTTGTTGCTTAGTGTAGTAGAGTTACTGCTTTCTTACTCCTGATCCTTTGAGATTTGAGTTGTTCGTTAGAGTTAGCCTTGTTGAGTTATTGAAAAATCTAGATCGACTAGAGCTAGCTGGTTAGTGGGCAATAGAGTTATTGCTTAATTATTTTGCTTATAGTAGATTTGCTACATTAAGGGGGTAAAGATTGAGAGTTTAACTCCTAGGTTGCAAGAGTTTGTAATTTGAAGCTTTACTCCATTTGAATGAAATGGAGTTTGGGTTGAAATCCTTTGAGACAGGTCGTGGTTTTCTCCTCCCTTATGTAAGGGAGTTTCCTCGTACATAAAATATCTTGTGTCTGATTTACTTTGAGTTATGTATTTTCCATATTGTTATTTCTGTCAAGGGACATGTTCCACTGACCATTAATGTTAGGATTGGAAATAAGCA